TGGGCACTTAGTCAGTGCTATACGGCACTTTTGAGCAAACAAATTATTTCTCACAATTCCTTTCTTTATAGCTACTCTGTTTTTGGAGTGTTGGAAAAGAGCCAATCATTCGCTACAATATAATTGGGATGTCACACAATTTGAAGCAGAGGTAACGAATTAATAAATCAAACATTATAAATGGTTGTATTAATATTTATATACTCTTAAATAATTTAAATATTAGGAATTACCAAGACCAGAATTTTATGGAACTAGTCAGTATATTTTTTTAGATCCTGCTATCTTAAATTAATCTTAACTGTCTGAAATTAGTCTCAACTGTCTGAAATTAAACTGGTTCACATTTTACACAAAAAGGACCTCGTATTTCGCCAATTACCATGAAACCTGAAATTTATTTTCCAGAGAATGAAAAGCTAAAAAAGGTTATAATTTCTGGAATTATCATCGTGGTTTCAGTAAGATTTATTCATTAACTTGATTTATCTAGTGTCTATCTAAAGCAAAATTTCAGATTTTCATATCAACTGCTTTGAGTTTGGCTAGCACGGTTAATCCTGCTTTTTTCATCATATTCAATATAATAGCTGTGCATTTTTATGATTACAATTGGTGTTCTGCTTATTTTTCCAAAAATATGGATCCATGTCGGTATTTATACATCCATTACTACTGCTTTCGTGAGTCTCATAGTAATGGTGATTCTTAGACTGGTAAATATATATTCGATTTATCCATTATAATAATTAAAATTATAGTTTTAAAATTAATGGTTTATAACAATAAAGCTATATGGAAGTTTGGCATTTAAGCTGACAGATTATGAAAATCACAGAACTGAAACAGAATATGAAGGTTTTTATTTGTAAATTTAATTGGTCTCTTTCTTTTTTTTTTTTAACTTATATACCTAATCACGATTTATGCAAATATTTTTTAAGATGCTTTGATTCTCAAAATATTTCTTTTTGACTTTGTGAATTTTTACACTGCCTTGTTATACATTATACTATTTAAGCAAATTGTATGTTGTATTATTTATTAATTTAATTATAATAATGAAATTTAACCAAGGCTTTTTTGTTTCAATTTAGTTTATAAGGAGTTTGATAAATAGATCTGATGTTACAACAGGATGTGAATATAACAATTGCTTTACAGAACTTACTATTCAATTAGCAATCGTTATGATTGGGCAACAAACGTTAGGACAAATTAGTGAAATTTTTATTCCGTATGTAATTTGCGATCTTATTTCTCTTTTTATAAACTTTCTCTAAAAAGTTTGCTATTTAAATTTGTAGTTTTGTTAAAAGTCACATAAATAAGAAAAAAATAAAACAGAAAATTAATGAATTACTTGTAAAATATGACAATGTGAATTCCGGAAGAAAACTCCAAGGAGTTCCACAATGGATAAAAGATGATGATTTAGATAGACCTCCACAAATACAAAATAACGAATTTGTAGAAATTGGTTTGTTTATTTAATTATTTACATTTAATAAATAATAATTAATAATAGCTATGCTAAAATTTGGTGGTGCTGAAATTTTAAGTCCCCATTATAATACTTGCTGATATCTACTTATATTCTTTTGTATTAATAACACTGAAAATCTTTAAAATTTTAAATTCAAATGGATTAAAATTTTAGCATCAGTTTCCAAAATTAATTACATAAATCGTACTAATACTGTATGCTAATTAATTTTTTAGTTGTACAATTCGGGTTTATATCATTATTCTGTTCGGTATTTCCTTTAGCGCCACTGTTTTCTTTGTTAAATAATTTTATTGAGATCAGAACAGATGCTTTTAA